CCTTGAACAAAAAAAAAAAAAAAAAAAAAAAAAAAAAAAAGACAAGGAGGCAAAGACAACAAATTGTAATGAAATCACTCAACGGGACTGGGGATTTAGCTCAGTGGTACCACACCTGCCTCGCAAGTGCAAGGTCCTGAGTTCAATCCCAAAATCACTCAACCTATGCCAGAAGCCAAATGTACTCTTGAGCTTTTTCGTGACATAAACCACTTTCTTTTCTGCTTACGTCAGTTTGAATAGGATTTTCTGCCACTGACAAAAGAAAGGCTCTCTTTTGATATCGCCTCTCTCTATGTATGTCCCCTCTGTTATGGTCTGGACCTAAATGTCCCCCAAGCAAGCCGCTGGGCTCTGGGGAAGCAACTGGGTCGTGAAGGCTGTAACTTCACCCGGTGGATTCACGCACCAAGGTCATGATCGGACAGCCTTGCTGGGAGCTGGTGAGCTGATGGAGACAGGGGAGGTCTAGCTGAAAGAGTGCATAACGACAGTGTCATCCTAAGGACTCTCCCGGGCCCCAGCCCCTTCCTCCCTCCCTCTCGCCCCTCGTCTTGGCTGCCATGAGGTGAGCAGCCGTGCTCCACCACATTCACCCTTCTGCCATAATTACTGTCCTCACCTCAGAGGCCCACAGCAATGGAAGCGGCTGGCCATGAACTGAAACCTCAGAAACCATGAGGCAAAATAAGTTTTTCTCCTTTTGGTTATTTATGTCAGGCATTTTGTCAAAGTGATAAAAGGCTGACTGATACATTCTCCATGCTCCCTCAAACCCAGTGGCTCCAAACTGTCCAGCTACAGACTAGAAAACACTTCTGAGACCCAGACTCGGGTCCACCTGCCTGGCCGATGTTTTCTCCCGTCACACCCAGGCACCTCAGATACAACGATGTACGGTGTGCAGCTCATGACCTCTCCTCCTAACATCCCAACACGCCATTCTGCCTGTACCCTAGATAAAACATCACTGCCCACCCAATCTCTCCAAACAGAAACCAACAATATCCTAGACCGCTCCTGGCTGATAATCTTTGATGGGGCTGCCGAGGCCCTGACCAACACTTTCTGACTGCATGACCTTTGGTTGGATAAAGAACATGTCCAAGCCTTGGATTTCCACACAGACTCATCAGGATGGAAGGAGACAATGTATGGAAAACAATAATGTCTGTCTATCCCATTCCCTACTGCAGAGAGCCAGCGCGTCATGAAACTAATTCACCTGGGCACGGTGATGAAGACCTGTAATTTCTAGGAAGCTGAGGCGGGACAATCAAAAGTTCAAGCTGAGCCTGCGCTACTTAATGACTTAGCAAGACACTGTCTCAAAATAAAAAGTGAAAAACGGACTGGAGATATATCTCAGGGCTTAGTGCAAAAGCCCTGGGTCCAATCCGCACCACCACTGAAACAAAACAACACAACCTTATCCTCACTGCCACTTCCCCAGCCGGGGAGCCTCACCTGCATTCCACAGGTTACTAATAGATGTCTGCATCTCATCTTCTCATCTTTGATCTCGCCCCCACTCCAATCTGCGCTCCCCACGGCTACCAGACAGATGGTTCCCTACGCAGGCCCGGTCGGTGCCACGTCCCCCAGACGCCCTCCACCTCTGCTGCCTGCACTGCAGCCTCCTGCCGCTTTCCCGACCACGGGGCTCTGCATGCTGCGCAGGCCGCCCACTCTGAACACCTGGTGAAAACACCCCTGTAAAGGTCAAAGGAAAGGCAGCTGGCTGGAGGTGCTCAACCTCACCCACCTGGCGCCACAGAGAAGAGGGAACGGGGAGGCGGCAAGGGGTTAGGGTATTCTTAAAGAAAGGAAGGCAAAGGAAAAAATGAAGAGGAAAGGAGCAATCTAACAAGATCCAACGGGCCGGGGATTTAGCTCAGTGGTTCCGCTGCCTTCCTTGCAAGCGCAAGGTCCCGAGTTCGATCCACAGTACCAAAAAATAAAGAAAGAAATAAAAAGACCTAATGTGCAAACAGGAGGGGATGATGTCCTAAGCAAAACAAAAAAAAAAGTGAAGTCACAAAGCAAAATACAGATTCGACCTCGTAATACGAAATACTTCTGTACCATCAAAGGTTGATAGGCAAAGTGAAGACAAAAAGGTGAGATATTTACTTATGAACATGAGAAGAATTAAAGTCCAGAATTTGAAGAGTCAAACAAGCTGATGTTTACAAACAGCTCAACAAAAAAACTGACAAAGGATCTGATCAAGCGATGAGAGGAAGTATAAACTGATTTAAAAGTTCTTTAAGGGTAACCTTGGGAGACTCCTTCAGCAAGTAAAATGCACCAAACTGATAGAGAACGGTCTCCAAGATCCAGGGTAGACTTTCAAGATGCTATCTGCGGAGGAGGTTATAAAGCATGCTAGCCTGTTTATTTTTCAAAAGCGAACAAGGAGTGATACACATTTTTATTTGCCTATGGGTACATGGATTCTCTCCAAAAGAATAGATAAAAATGGCAAAATTAGTTATTTCCCAAAAGGGAAACAGAGCGCTGCAGACAAGAGTTGGAAGAATTTTTAAATGTTCTACCTCCATTTTTTTTCTTGAGTTACTGGGGATCAAACTCAGGGCCTTCACACTGAGCTACATCCTCAGCCCATATTTTGTTACTTTGTTTCGAGACAGTTCTCACTAAATTGCTAAATTGCCCAAGCTGAGTGTGAAACTGTGATCCTCCTGCCTCAGCCTCCCAGTGTTCTGAGATTACAGGCCTAGGACATGAGTCCCAATAAATGTTGTACCTTCTGAATACACTGTCTACCCCCTGAGTAAATGTAAATAAATGAGTTAATGAAATCTCTTTTCAGCACAATCTCTCAGACCTCAATAAGCAAAGAGAACTGTGCTAAAATAACTGTTTCATATGTACATTCCCTTCGACCCACCAATTCTATTTCTAGGAATAATTTTTATCCAGAAACACTCTTTATGGACACAAATAAAGATATACAGATATACTGAGTTAGAAACCATCTAATTAGGGTCAGTGGCTCATGCCTGTAACCCCAGAACTCTAGGAGGCCGAGGAAGGAGGACTGAAAGTTTTAGCAATTTAGGGAGACCCTGTTTCAAAACTTTAAAAAATAAAAATGAAAATAAAACGAAGGACTCAGTGCAAAGGTCCTGGGTTCAATCTTCAATACTGCAAAAAGCAACAAAAACGTTGAGATCAATTTAAGGGTTCATCAGAAGAATGTTACATCAAGAAAGTTAATCACGGATATTACATATCCCCTCATTTACATATTTTACAAAATATACTCAATAATTTCACATTGGTCCTCAGTTAGAAACACAGATTAATTTACCATGTCTCATTCTGTGATGTCAATAAGCCATATATAAAATATTCATCTATGTCTCCAGACTTGTGGCATGTGGTACATTAATTCTTCTCGTGTTAGTAAGTAAATATCTCGCCTTTTTGTCTTCATCTTTGCCTATCAACCTTTGATGGTACAGAAGTATTTCATATTATGAGGTTGAGTCTGTATTTTGCTTTGTGACTTCACGTTTTTCATTTTGCTTAGAACGGTGTCCCCTCCTGTTTGCACATTAGATCTCTTTAGATTTCTCCTTTCCTCTTCACAGGCATTGAAAAAGACCTAGATGGAAACCCATTTACAGCAGTTTCCCCAGAGGTGAGCACAGGAAGTAGAGGAGAGGTGGAGGGAACCTTACTATCTACTCCTACGTATTACTGCATGTGAATAAATGTCTCAAAAGAGCTGCTATTTCTGAAACTCTGCTAGTGTCCAGGCACGCGCTCCCTTCGGTACCAAGGGCCCGTGTTGTAAGGGCTGGGCTGGGGGCGAGCTGTCCTGCTTCCCACCTTGCTGTTCACACAGTGCTTGCTTACCCATGACGTGAGAATAGAATAAACACAAACCAAAACAAAATTCAAATCTACTTTCCTCCTGCTTTACTCCTAGCAGACTGAAAACTCTTTCCTTTGTCTTCCCAGGGGTCCCTGAACATATCTGCCATGAATGCCATTCTCCCCATTGCTGGGCACGCACAGTGACTGTGGAGACAGATTTAAAAAAACAAAACAAAACACAACAAAAAACCTCTTCACTAGCAGTCTGTCCTTGGGGAGGACCGGAATCACAGGAAGATAGGTACAGATGGAATGAATGAAGTCAGACCTTCCTCCAAACTGCAGGCATCCCTGATAGCCACCTGTACTTTTAATGATGATTTTGTTCCTAAAGAAAAACTTCCAGAAGATACCACTTCTCCCCTCCAGTCCTGCTTGAATGCATTTCAGGGAGACAGTAAGTGCTTCCAAAGTGTAACACAGGCTGACCCCAACCAGCCCCCATACATACGTAGTTCAGTCACCTTGCACATTTTTGAAACATGTTTTTAATTAGCAGACATATTTAGAAATATGGAGCTTTTTTCATAAATATATACAGCTCCCCCAAAACTCAGATCAGGTAACGATGTGCTCAGGCCTTGTGGCACCTGCAGCCTCCTCTTTATCATGAGGCTGGCAGTGCCCAGCACCCCTGCCACCCTCCCCCTGCTCTGGAGCTCCACGGCAGTCACACACTGAACTATACCTCCTTTTGCTGACATTCAGGTCAGTTCCGGTTCAGCCCATTCTGTCCCCCACAGAACGCAGAGAGTTCACACCAAGCTGCCCATGCAGTCTGCCTCAGCCTCTCAGCAAACTCCGTGCACAGGGCTGCAACACAAAGACACACTTTAGTTCCGAGTCAAGCCAGCTTCTCTGTTCTCACCGTCATGTCCGGAAGCTGAAAAGCAGGGAGAATTCCCTGGTTAAAGGATCCCCCGGGGGGCATCAGGAGGCTGGTAGAAAGTAAGGCCAAGTCCAACAACCGCTTGTGACCAAAGCTGCGGGCTAGCTGGGCAGTGCTTCACCCGCCCAAGTCTCGGCTTCCTCCAACACAGGGGCCAGCAGCACTCCACGGGGCTGTCCTGGGATGGAACTGGAATTAAAAGGGGTACAGCATACGCTTCCAGAGGATGAAGATGGGTATGGGAGGAGACAGGAAGGGGCGGTCTGGAAGAAGTGACAGTGACTGCAGCAGCCACGCCAGTCAGGATCGAAGAGCGCTGTACAAGGTGACCAGAGGTCCCTCCCCACCCCCAGGCTGCCCGGAGAGCCTGGGGAACGCCTCTCGTCACCTGCTCTAGTAAAATGCACTTTAGGGGAACATTCTTAGGGCCAAGGACAGCTCGCCAAGACTGGGGGGCGGGGTGTTCCGACTCCTGGGGCAGAGGAGGTCCAGCTGCATCCACTACCAGGGAGGCGGTCCTGTCGGGGCCTTCAGCCCTCGAGGTGGGCTTTCCCGGCGTTATCACTGCCCCACGAGCGAGGGCCCTTCCCTCCCAAACCAAGCACGGCCTCTCTACTTCGGGGAGGAGGAAGATCAAAGGGCCGGCTGCTGAAAGCCCTCTGCAAAAGGGACGGGAGATACATACAACACGGAAAATACACAGCCTCCAGGCAGTGCTGTGCAGTGATGCCAAAGCCCGCTGCGCGGTCCCTGGAGATCACTCAGCACTCAGGAGACGCCCTCGCCCCCAAAGAGCAATCGGGGTGCGCTCTGGACCCGAGGCACCCAGGGCCCGTCAAGGGCACCCGCACCCCACGCTAACCGCACTTCCCTCTGGAGGCACGCGCCTCCTGCGCCGGGTTGAGGACGCACGACGCCAAGGATCCGAGTTTGGGGTGCTGCTCACCTGTTCCCCAGATTCCGGCCGCTATGCTCACATCCCCCACCCTCAGAGGGGTGGGGAGCCCTGACCCCGGAGGCAGGGTGCCCCTGAGCCGAGTGCCGGCTCGCGCTGCTGCTCTTCTTCCCCGGGCACTTGCGGGGCTCCCAGTGCGCTCGGCAGGGGGGTGGGGGCTGCAG